GGAGCACGCCGGGTTCTCACCGGACCAGGCTCTCACATCACCAAGCGCGAAGCGCCGTGAGATATTCGGCGAGTCGCATGAAGGGTGCGCTGCATCCTGCTAAGGGTTTTCGGCATATTGTGCTTACTTTCTTGCGTACGGATGACAGCTGCGTATGACATAATTTATTTCCTGCTGCGGTATGTACTTTTTCTCTGACAACAGTCTGCGGTCCCCGAGTCACCGCCGAACACTGACCTTGGGCCTCCCGTGGGCCTCCCGGTGATACGCATGTACCCGCACGGACATTGCGGAGCCCCTCAATATCCGGAGAAACGAAAGAGCAGCGTGTGGTTGATTGTTCTTGTAACCGCAATTTTTTCTATCATTGACATCCACGTCGGTGGGTTAAAATTCGAGCATGGTAAAAGCAACAGCACGCGAGTATTGTACGTACGTGAGCATCGTACGTACCATGGGTGGATGTGTCGCACACACCCTGCCTTGCTTGAAGTGCGTCTGCTGGGAGCGTGTCTAGCTCGTTGATTACGCGGAAACGTTTGGTATCATACCCCCCCGTCATTGGTCCCGTGGGAATAAGGCTTCGTCCTCTCGAGGATGCGTGCTCAATGGCCCAACAACTACAAGGCATGCAAAACATGAGAACGCTCCTCCCCCCGGCTTTATAGCGATCCTTGGTCAATAGTCCAACAACTATGACATGCAAAACATGACCCCCCCCCCNATGCAAAACATGCCCCCCCCCCCCGCTAAACACGCGCTTGGTGTGTGCTCCCTCCCCGTGGCGTGCGTCACCGATGTCAGCTGGATCGGAGCAGCAAGATCGTGAGGCACTGCTGGCGCTGTACTGGTCGAGCGGGGGTCCGCGATGGAGCCGCAATCAGGGGTGGGCTAGTAACGACGCGGACTTGGGGAACTGGCACGGGGTGATGTGCAAGGACGGGAGAGTCGTGCGGCTCGATCTCGACAGGAACGGCTTGGTCGGTGAGCAGGACGGCCGCCTTTTTGATTGTTACATAATGTGGTTGGAATGTGGGTAGAAAAAAACGCTGTTTTTGTCGTAGGCGAAATGACCTTACGGCGAGTCGGAACGCAGACGGTGTAGCGGTAGTTGGAGTATGTATTAAGAGTCAGACAGGCAGGCAGAGACAGGCGAAGACGTGAATATTTTGGTAGTTACAAATGTTGCACGAGTATGAGCATGAACAAAGGGTAGAATCGAAGAACAAAGACCGAATGCCGTAAGGTTGGGAGTCAGCTAGAGCACAGGGACAGGGGTGCGATCGATTTTCAAAGCGTAATTTTTCCACAACCAGAAGGGTGCGAGCGCCAACTGATAGTTGTCAGGAAAGCTCTCGACGAGATATTTCCAAAACCGCCCTTTTCGACAGTTGTAACCTCCTGGTTGTGAAGAAATTACGCTTTCAAAGTAGCTCGCACTCCTGTGCTTTAGCTGACTCGCAAACTTACGGTATGTACATAGACGGCCTCGATCGAGGACGAAATAACGAGTCCGGTAAACTGTCTGTAGGAAGAAAATGCCTCCATGCGATACGAGACCCTGACCAGCGACCTGTCTTGTTTTTTCGACAATACTCAAGGTACAATCCCTGCTGCGCTTGGAGGCCTTACCAAGGTCGTCTACCTGCGTATGAGCTGCAACAACTTGACTGGTGAGATACTTTGCTTCCACAGCAGTGGTCCCGAAATAATGCCGGTGGAGCATATTGCCGGCTGCCCTTGTTTAACGCAGATGCAACCGCGTTACACAGATGGAATATTCGAGTTGTTTCATACCGAAGTACCCTGGCATTATACCGGGACCACTATAATACTGTATTACAGTCGTGGCTCCGATATAAGAGGGTCGAAATCGGTTGTCACGACTTCGACCCTCTTTAGTATAGTTGAGTACTCTCTTATTCCAGTGTACGAGGGGGCTCCGATATAAGAGGGTCCAGGGCCTTGGTCACACCACCCCTCTAGATCGGGACCACGACTGCTGTATCAGGTGCGTCTGTCTGGCTTTCTTAGAGCGTGTGAGTCGGAGGTTAAGGCTTCGTTTTTTTTTTTTTTCGACTCCCCCTTCAGCGTTGGAAGAATTGTGTCGTGTGATACTTCATGGCAGGCCCGCCTGCAGTCCTTCTCTTGGAAGAGAGAAGAGGCCTAGAAGACCAGGCCAGGTGTCATTTGAGCTTTGTTTTGGCGATGAGGATATACACCCACCCCCCCGTCATGGACGTATCGCGATGACAAGGGGCAAAATAGATAACAGTGGGGAGGGG